AAAAACACTTTTAAAAATTGGAGCAAAGATAGGCAATGTACGAGTTATAATCCGGGGAGATTTAGTGCATTTAATAATTTACAGTTTACACACCCATTTCACATCCGATCCCTAGTAAATAGCATCCTTTTTTTTAAATATAAACCGGGCCAGATTTTTAAACTACTAATGTAATTCTCCTGACAACCTAATTACAACTGTATCCAGCTTATATATCGGTAGTTTGAAGGCAATCTATATTTGCTTTGACCGATTCTGTAAAATTAAACCTTTCGATCACAAAATTCAGACACTGGGCACATTTCCATGTATTAATCAATTGAAAAACGGTAAGATCCAATTTCTACACTAACTTTAATTGATTCGATAGCAATAAACATCTGAACCTATTGTTTTTAATTTTTATCATTTGCAAAGAAAAACAAGCCTCATAGTTATTTATATACAAAGTACATCCTCGTATAAGTCAATGACGAAAAGAGACATTTAAACGAGTGGCTAAATTTATATACTTGATAGATTTGAAACTTAATTGCACCAACCACAGCTAAAGATTTGATATAGGGAAATTATTATATTATATATAAAACTGAAGCTTAGTTACTGTTGTCTAAAAAAATATCATTTTGATACTCCAAATTTAATTAAATCACAACTTAGTCATTAGAATGTACATTTTACATTTTGAAACCCCTAATTTTATTTTAGTGTAAAATTATTGAACAATTATGTTTAATATCTAAATTTTATAGGATTTTCGTATCTTCAATTTTTTAAATTTACATATTGATCCAATGTTTAGATTTCATTTGAATCCATGAATCCGGACCACCAATCCTGTTGAACCAATCCACGAATCCAATCCACCATAAAGTAAAAGTATAAATTTAGTTTCTATCATACAATATGTTGTATACTCAATTGTAGGAGAAGATATGACCATTTTATATGTGCTCATTACGTGAAATATTAAATAATGATAAAAGAGAGACGACTCTAAAATATCACAAGAGTGAATTTATAAACTCATGCATTTAGTGCATTTACGGGGTACTAAACAAACTTCTACTAACTATCATGGTTCAAAAAGACACGTTTAACCTTACACTTAGGCACGTCTAGGCACAAGGCTATGGCAAAACGCCTCGCCTAGGGTTTCGCGCCTAATTAGATACTGGAACATGTCAATGGAGTAATGCGACATATAAATCTCTCCTAACATTACTAGATGAAGCTGGAAAGTCAAAATTAGAGGAGAAAATTAACCTCAATTACGGAATCAATTTTCTATATCAATATTTTCAATAGCTTAAGAACTTTGTGAGCTATTGAGCTATGATTCTATAAATTTGTGAGCTATGTTATTGTCATTAAGTATTGAGTAAATTATTATTCATTTTAAATGAAGTGAGGAAGTGTTGTAGATTATTATTTCATTCATTATGCAGTGCGAATAACTATTTTTCTTCCAACGCCTAGGCACGCTTAGTCTACGACTAGGCGCTAGGCAAAGGCTCCACGCCCGCCTTACGCCTAGCGCCATTTTGAACCTTGCTAACTACATCTAACAAAATGTGCAAAATCTACATAAGCAAGTGTCAATAAATGGCTACGGTGAAAAGAGTTGACTGTTTTATTGACGCCCAACTAAAAGAATTGCTCAAAACCTTTCCATCATCTATTTCCTTTTTTCGTTTCATTTTTCACTCGCCTTCAATAACCTTTTCTTTATTTCTTTCTTTGCCTTATTCGTCTAACTCTAATCAGTATACTATTTTTATATATTCTAATCACAAGTATGACCGGGTCCATACATGACTGACCAACAGTCTAGAAAATTTAATAATTGAAAATGGAACCATGAACCACTAACTTTTTAGCTCAATGTCGAGTCCAAGTAAAAATAAATATATATGGTTACTACTTATTAGAAAGTCATCATTTTCCACTATGGGATTTAAAGGCGTGAAATTTTAAGCGAGTTTCAATTTGTATTCCTTTCTTCTCTCTAGAGTTTTTCTTTTTCACCCGGGCTAGAATTTTCAACAATTATACATGGAATTTTCAACAATTATACATATCAAATAAATTTTTTCCTATTTTCTATAGAAAAAGTAAATAATTATCATCTTAATTATATCACCATAAAAGGAATTAAGCCTCAACTATGCAAATTACAGTAAGGTACCTAAACTTAATAGATCTTTAGATTTATAACCTAAATATATTTTTTTGGCATATAAGTCCTCAAAATATTGATGAAACATTACATTTATTATCTAAAATTTTTGTGTATTACATTTTGATACATAAAATTTTGAAGTACACACCCTCGAATAAATAGGTATCCATACCCAACTCATACACATTTAGATTATGAAAGTAAATATCCATACCCTACCCAAACTCATTTACAAACTTCCAAACCCATATATACGTCATACATACCCTAACCATAATCAATGGGTCTACTTGGTTTTAGGTAAATATCATTTATTAGCCAAAATTTTCAATTTTTTTAAAATTAGATGTTGACCGCCATATATATTTTCTCAGTCAATATCATATTATCAAGTCAATATTACTAACAAAACTACTAAATAAATTAATTTAGGCTAATAATACTAACAAATCATCATAACGAGCCACATAATACATGCACATAGGCCATCTCTGGCCGCGACATCGCCACCTAGTATAGTATATTATTATAGAATGTGTATTAATGACTTAATATATCAGTGATTTTGCAGGTAATAACTCACCCACTACCTACCTGCCACCCACCAAAATTTAATGGATGACAAAAAAGATAACCCACACCCACCCACCATATCTTTGTTTATTATTCCCGAGTGATATCAATAGAAGAAAAGAGTTATACAAACAAAGCTATCCAAGAACCCTTTACAAGCGACATCCCAGTGAAGTCACTCAAAAAAAGATGAAAGACTCTAACTCTAGGAGAGACAATAGCAGTGCTTTAAGCGCCACTCTATGGACAACACTGTTGGCGGCTCTAGGAACCGCCCTAAACTCTATACAAATTGACAAACAGTCTTGGATCTGACGAGACTACCGGAGCACCGGATCTAATAAGGAAACTTCTAGTACACCTTGTCGAATCAGGTTGACGACCACCTCGGAATCACTTTCCACTATCACGTGAGTCAAATATCTTGAGGCGAGGATTACCCACCCACCATATCTACTCAAACATGTAATGGATGAGTTATAATTCGGTAAAAATTCATATTGGTTTAATGATTGACCCACCCATTACACATCTCTAATGTATAACATCCTTTTTTAACATCAATCGACTCATAATCAATGTAGTCAAAAGCGCGATTCTACCTAGAAGCGAAAAGAGGTAAAAGCGTAAATGCGTATATTTTTATGCATACTGTAAAATAACTAAAAATCTGTAAAGTACGACATATACTTTGTAAAATATGAGTGTACAGAATTTAGATAAGTTAATAAATACATGCAATTCATGTCTAAAGTAGAGCAACTCATAGCATCTTAACAATAAGTTCATAAACATAGATCTTAACAATAAGGCACATTCCTGTCTATGCTAAAATGAATTTGGGAAGGGCCTAGCTGGTGAATTAAATCACTCTATGGAAGCTGAGAATCCATCAAAGTACCTAGTATCTATATTTTAATCTCAAATGTATCATATTGTTGATGATTTACCTTAATATACTTTTTATAATTAATTCATGAAATGAATACCAATTTAGTGAACTAAAAGCATAAAGGCGTAAAGCATTTTGGTGAACTAGAAGCGTAAATTTTTAATCTTTAAACCTCAATTTAGTTCGATTTTATACACTAAAGATTTTATACGAAATACGCTGTTAAACTTTAAAACACAATTTAGTATGATTTTATATATTAAATTTTTATATGAAAACGAAAACGTTTTGATGACTAGAAACGTAAAACCGTAAATTTTTAAATTTTAAAACGCGAATTTGACTGCAACAATTCTCCTGACAACCTAATTACAACTTTATACATCTTATATATCGCCAGGTGGAAGGCAGTCTACTGTAAATATAAACCTTTCGATCATAAAATGCAGTGACTTGGGACACATTTCTATTAACCAATTGATAAACGGGAAAATCAAATTTACTATACTAACGTTGAATACTTTGATAGCAATGAACATCTAAACCTATTGTTTATAACATTTAAAATAAAGAAAAACAAACCTCATAATTATTTCTATACAAAGTAAACATCGTCGTATAAGTTAGTGGCAGAACTGAAAATTTAAATGAGGGGCTAAAATTATATACCCGACGGATTTGAATCATGGTCATTGGTACATGAGGGGCTACTAGTCTATTAGTGAATTAACTAAGGAGTAGTAGATAGCTAGAGACAATCAATCAACAACGAGAAACAAACACATAGTAGTTTCGATAACTTGAATTGTTGGCAGATATTTAATTATGAATCTTACGCTATTTATAACACGTCCCTCAAACAAGTGAAAAAATATATGAAGTTGAAGTGTTAAACATTGGAGGTCACCGGATTTAAATACATACAATATCTCATTTGGACTTGATAACTTGAGTCACGTTGAGAGATGTTCAATAATAAACCTTACAATATCTGTAGCATATCTTTCAAACAAAGAGACAACTCATATGAAGTTGAAATTTACACAATTGCTTATACAATGTCTTTTTTTTAACATTGAGAATCATCCGGATTTTGATACCTAAGTTCGAAACAAATACATCAGCTGCCGAACACCCAAATCCAAGGTGCTTGTTTGTGATTTTTGGACGCATTTTATTACTGTTAAACATTTGGAGTCTCTACGTAACAGGTAACATGCATTTACTAGCTAACGGTAAACGGGTAAAAGCGCATAATTAATCGTTCCTATATAAAGCAAACACCGTGATGAACCAAATCAAGCAAAATCCAGTCTAAGTGTCTATAAAATATCCCTCTTGCCTTACAAAACCATGCATAATAATAATCCATTCCTCGTCGTCCTTTTCGTCGCCGCATCCTTCTACCGCGGCTCAGACGCTGCTGCGAGTTTCTGCGTGGGTGATCTGACACGTCAGCCGACGCCTTCCGGGTACCCGTGCAAGAACCCGGAAAACGTCACCGTCGACGACTTCGTGTTCACGGAGTTTGTGAAAAGAGTCAACACCTCGAATGCCAACAAGGCATCCATCGTTCGAGCCAACTCGACGACGTTTCCGGCCCTGAACGGTCTGACCGTAGGTTTGGTCAGGACGGTCATGGAACCGAACGGCGGCGTTGTCTCGCTCCACACCCACCCTTTCTCGCCGGAGATGGTCTACGTGGTGGAGGGAACCATCACGTCAGGGTTCATCACCGACCTGGACTCCAACACCGTGTACATCAAGAAACTGCACCAAGGGGAAGTCTTTGTCATCCCGCAAGGGTTGCTTCACTTCCAAGTCAACAGCGGGGCTCAAAAATCCGTCCATTTGGCGTTTTTCGGGACAGCCGACCCCAGCGCTCAGTTTCTCCCACCGGCGCTCTTTGGGAACGACTTCCCGTCTTTGCTGATGGAGAAAACTACTGGGATTAGCCAGGCCGAAGTCAAGACGCTCAAAGCTCTTCTTGGTGGTACGGGCTAAGAAATTACCCTCTAGCTAGTCGCCGAGTCATAAAAATCTAAACGAGGGGCCTAAAAATACGAATTGACGAGAGGACTAGAACCTTATCAACTACTATATTCTCATATTTATTTATATATAATTTTACGTAATTTTGCAAGTTGAGGGGGCGCTATAGCCTCCACTAGCTAGGCATATGGGCTCATCAACTTAAGACTATCGCCTGGTCGAAAAAACAACAAGGCCTACTTATGGACTGTTTATGTTACAATGCGTACGTTAGTTTCAATCTAAAATGTTGTCGTCACTGGTGAACCTGCTGGTACGGGCTAAAAAATTACTAGTACGTGGCACGACATCATTGCTTATGCATGCATGGCTAAAATTACCTGTTGCTTAATTGATGTGTCCAAATGTTGTTCCAATTTAAAGTTTACGAGTTTGGGATGTAAGACGATGTAACTTATAGTCGCACTCATGAACCTGCTGGGATTGTTGCAGTTTGGGCCATTCTTTCCCTATTGTATCCAATATTGTTGAAATATAATTTCCCTTTGAATTTCATTGTTGAAATTTCAGTTCCGCTTAGTGAAATACTATAATTTATGAGTTTTTTGAACAGATCAGTTTCATTAAAAGAAATATAGTTTATGAGTTGATATTTGGTTTTATTAGTAAAAAAGAGGGTTGTCCATGTATAAGCAATGGACTTAATTTCTCGAATGAAGAAATATAGGAGGTCTGACAGATCATGGTACACGGGCTGAGCTAGGAACGGCTCTCGGGAATCCTACCTTTCTCTCAAGAATTTTGAAAGTTACGTGTGTACATTTTACGGGTACTTTGAAATTCTAGTATAAACTCAAGCCAAACTATATAATGGTTTACTGTGCACAAATCAGCAAGAAAATTAATCAGTTTAGTGGATACTGTATAGGAAGCTTATATTATTTTACAAATCGGGTATTTAATACTCGGTAACAACAATTCTTTAATTAATTTTTAACTAGATCATTTCTATATTTTAATACCACTACAAGAAAAGTGAGATATAGCGGCAAAAAATGGCGGCTCTTTATAAATCTGCCTCTAAAACTTAATTTCTATCTAGCGACAATTATAATATTTGTCCTTAAAAGTAGCGGCTCTTTATAAATTTGCTTCTAGTTAATTTTTCCCCCATTTAAATATTATGATGTTGTTGTTTAGAGGCCGATAGTTTATCAGCAAATTCATTTGAATAAAATAGAATTAAGGACACAGGGAATAGCCGGCAAAACATAAACTAGAATTAAATGGCAAATACAATTATGGTGAATAATACGAAAAAAAAAAGAGGCTTTATGAACTATTTATGTTAAAATGCAGTATCAATTTAAAAGTGCAGTTATCATAATATTAGAAATAAATTTCTTTTTATTATTTTGATTAATTTTATCGCTTTTTTTTTTTATGGGGTAACCAAGTTAGAAATGTAAGCTTCGGAATATCTAATCTTGGGTCGGCCCCTATGTGCGCAAGCATTACAAACAAGTTTTCAATGTGGTTGGAGGGGATTTTGGCTTGTGGTGTGAAACATCACATTAAGTAAGTAGGGGAGTGAAGAAGAAAGAATGGCCACTTAAGTTTGATTATGATAGATAAGATTAATTGCATAATCATGTTCCCTCAGTGGACAAGCTAGCATCCCTTTAAAATTAGGGGCTGGTGAAAAGATGTATATTGACCTCCCATCTCGCACCACCACAATGGGTAATTAGCTAGGCTGTTCCTTTCTTTCTTTCTTGTGCTTTTTGATGTATAGATGAGTCCTTTTCCAATGTATTTCTTACTTAAAAATCTCCATTGATCAGTCGCCCCGCAGTAGCAGCACCAAAGTTGCTTTTTGAAGAATGCAGCAAGGTCTTATTTTGAAACGTGGCAGCAGGTGGAAACGAAGCACAAATTTTGGGGTAAAGGGCTCTTAACTATATTGGGTAGTCGGCGACCTACATTAAGGCTTATCGATTTATTAACAGTTTTTCGATTCTAACCGAAACGATTAAGAGCTTTTCGATTTTTACTTAATAAGAGACTAAACATGTAAAACCGTTTCGGTTACCGACACAGAACCATCACTTGTAGCTATACTTGTCTGAACTACACGTAGCTCCACCACTGAACTAGATACATGTAATAAAGATGCGAAGAGTTGACGAGAGAACATAGGTATTGCCCTTTTAGCAAGCAATGTCCCAAAAAAATAGACAGCCTTCTAGATCTTGCAAAAATGCCTTGAACTCTAAGGTAACTATAGACGTATTCCATCACTCCCTATATAACCCTTCTCAATCGATCAAATAAATACAAAAACTCAGTCACCTTTCAAAGAGACCATCCACAACACACTAGCTAGCTAAAAAAAGTGGTCACAAATGATGACCTCTCGCCGTCACTATATCTTCCCCACCCTCCTCCTCTCCACAATCCTCCTCTCCCCAACACACGCGGCGGATTTCTGCGTCGCCGATCTCACCACCCAAACCACGTCCGGCTACACGTGCAAGAACCCGACCAACGTCACCGCCGACGACTTCGTGTTCACCGCCCTGGTCCACAGCGGCAACACCTCCAACACCAACAAGGCGTCCGCGGTCCCGGGCTTCGTCCAGCAGTTCCCGGGCCTGAACGGGCTGGGCCTGGCTGTAGCCCGGGCCGACATCGAGCCCGGTGGCGCGATCCCGCTCCACAGCCACCCGGCAGCCACGGAGATGATCTACGTGGCGGAAGGCTCCATCACGGCCGGTTTCATCTCCGGGGCGTCCAACGTGGTGTACGTTAAGAAGCTGAATAAGGGCGAAGTCATGGTTTTCCCGCGAGGGCTTTTCCATTTTCAGGTGAACACGGGGAAAGAGCACGCCGTGGGGATCGCGAGTTTTAGTGACTCAGAGCCTGGGGTTCAGCTGGTGAGCTTGGCGATCTTTGGCAACGATTTTCCGTCGTTTTTGGTGGAGAAGACGACGAGTATTGATGAAGCTGAGGTGAAGAAGCTCAAAGCTCTGCTTGGCGGTTCTGGCTAAGGCTAAGCAAATTACGACGTACACAGAAGAGGTTATTTGTCCAGTTCATTAATAAAATATGTGGAGCGAAGATATTGACGTTTTTTTTTCTTGATGGTTGTAGGTTAGTTGGTTGTTTTGAATAATCTTGGATATGAGTTATATATGATGTTCGAGAAGGGTGATTAACATGTTTGGAAAAATAATCTACAAAATCCTATAAGCGGATGTCAAAACAGAGCATTTGCCACGTCACCCTTTGCTGAAAGCGCCGCACGTTTCGGATGGGTTTTTTTGTCATTCTCTAAGCCTTCTCCTCTTCGGTCTTTGTCTACTCATCCTTCCCCAGCGTTGAAGATAAAAAAAATTTCCCGAATTCGCTGAACTCTTCGGTCTTTCTCTTCTCATCCTTCCCCAGACGCTGAAGATAATTTTTCCCCCGAATTCGCTGAAGTTATTTTGGCTGCTCAGTGATCTAGGCTCCTCGCTGGATTCGACGCCGCCATTCCTATCGGAAACCAAAAACTCCAACCACCCACCGGATCGCGAAGAACGCTTTGTCGACGTATTCGCTGGATTCGACGCCGCCATTGCAATCGGAAACCAAAAACTCCAACCACACACCGGAACGCGAAGAGCTCTTTGTCGCCGTGTCTTTCTAGCCGCAATCTGCCAGTGTGCTCTCCGCCGCTCTGTCTGCCACACTCGATGTGAAAGAGTAATCCCTCACTTTTTGCCCTCTCTGTTCATTGAATCTGAGCTCAGCCTCAACCCTCAATTTTTCCCACAATCAAATTGAAATCCATATCCTCACCGTCTCGCTGTCGCTACTTCCTCGACTGTCACCGGGAATCGATGCCACCGAAGGCCTTGCTGTGGTCGTCGCTCTCTCGCTGCCCAATCTGTCTACCGCCGTCTCTCTCTTGCCCCCTCTCGGCCGATCTGCCAAGCTATCGTACCTGATGTGTTCGTCGTTGTCTCGCAATTTTGCCGCTGCACAATTTTTGGATTCTTCTTGGTAAGCTGTAGTCGTTTCGTGTATTGCCTTTGCGTTTGTTAACTATGTTCTGTTCTTTGTAATTGCCTTTTTCCAAATGGAAATCTTTGTAATTGTTTATTTCCCTGTACCAATTATGTATTTCAGTACTCAACAAATCCATATCCTATCAAGCTGGAGTCCGACAATGTCTTGGTAGATTAAGCGCGCCATCAAGTTCTTTATTAGTTCCCCCCTGTGTTTGCTGCCTCCCTGCGTCCGCTTCAGCAATGCCCCTGAAACGGCCTCGCGACAACACTTCTTATGGCTCAAACAATCCTCCAATGAATTCTGTCTCTGCTACCACTCGATGTATATTGTTTGTGGTTTATTTGAAGTTGCATTTGTTCTTAGGTGGCCTGTTTCTTATTGATAGTTATCAGCAAGTTGAAAGCTCGCCTCAGTTTCGTTGATCGTTATATTGCAACTATATCTAGAAGGCGAAGGAAGTTCCTTTTGGTGGTATGAAGGATGCATCGAGTTTGTGTTATGTCAGTCCCAGGTATGTCTCTGTTTGGCTCTAGCTTATCTTTTGTTGTTATGTAGTTAGCATTGTGAGTTCTATATGTTGTGATTAGCAGAAGCATAAGGTGAGGGGTTAGGACAAAGAAATGCTTTGAGTGGTCTATGAAAGTGTTTCACGTATTTATTTATATGACTTGGGTTTACTATTGAATGTACTATCACTTTGGATTTTAGATTTGAAATGGTGTATTTTTCATAGATTTACGGTAAATTTGGTTAAATTGAGTTTGGTGGAATTTGTTTTTGTCAAGAACCAGTTGCTCCCAATAACTCGAGTTGTTGGGAGAGGTTCAATCGTGGATCATATACCACACTAACACGCCCCCTCAAACGAAAGCCACTCACAAGGGCTTGAAGTTTGCACAGGTCCACATACCATGTGCCTAACAAATGGGGGTTACCAGGATTCGAACACAAGACCTCTCGGTCACATAAGGCTCTGATACCATGTCAAGAACCAGTTGCTCCCAATAACTCGAGTTGTTGGGAGAGGTTCAATCGTGGATCATATACCACACTAACAGTTTTTATATGGGATCCAAGTACACATATACCTTAAAAATGCATCCTCTCAATTTATTAATACCACCATAGCCCATGTACGTACAACCCATGAATAGAAGTCAGCTGATAATTCCCTCCTGCCCTTACTCCTCTCTTTCACTGTGCAATTTGTTGATTCAACAAATCGTGGTTCTTTTTTAGTTATGGTTGAATATTGTTCAAGTAGTGGGAAAGGAAGGTATACGCTATGTTACTTATACTTAATTAGTTCTAACTTCCAATCTTTGTATATGCAAGGATTCAAAAACACTTTGTGATCGGCCAAAAAAATGCAGCTCTAGATTTTGAATGTTTGAGTTTCTGCAGTTATATATTATCTTTTTGTTTTGATGTCCAACTGGAGTTTCTTTTATTTTAGTTCCTTTTGTTGTATGATGAACTTTCATCCTTTGATTACAAAATACATAGAGGGATCCCCTTCTCTGTTATAAGCAGTTTGTGATAAGCAAAGGCAATGCAATTTTATATTCTCGGTGTTTGGATTTCTGTACTTAACTTATTATCAATTTGTTTTTATTGTACACATGGAGTTTCTTTATGATTGAATGCTTTGTTATGTGATGACTATGAGGAAGACAAGTAGTATTGGCATAAGTTTTGTTTTGGAAATTTTTGTTTGGTTAAGGCCGTATTCGGATTTTTATATTTAGTAGTATGTTGCTCATCTACGGGTTGTTTCTAGATGCTTTAGTTTTTACTGAATTTGAAGCTTTAGATTGTGTGGAGAAATGTGATTCTGTTTATATGATTGGCCAGGTAATCAGGTTCCATTCGTGCAAGAAGAACCAGAGTTGGGGGCATAAATTGTGAGACTGAGTTTATGCTCTGAGAATTTTGCAGCGATATAAATGAGGAACTTGATTGCACCGATTGGTCGAAGCGACGAGGATAATGATGGGAAAGGAGTAGTTTGGGTGGGTGCGAAGATCTCTAAATTTGAGTGGCGCTGGCTAAATTTTTGTTTCCAAGCGTATCACTTTAGCATGTCAAGTCTGGTAATTTGATCTCATTATTCTAGGGGCAATTTGGAGGGTTTGGGTTTACAAAGACAACTTCAATCAAGATGAATATTTTGTTTCTTTATTGGCTGCAACCTTTTCTAAACCAATCATCTAAGGGAGAACAAACAAAAAGGAATTACAACCTCTGCATGTGACCTTCCGGTGAGGTCTGCTCCTCAAACAAGGGATGGGAGAAAGTAAAAATTGGAGAAGAAGCAGTAGGGAAGAAAGGTGAGCAGAGGGAGGGGAAGAGGAAAAGTCACCCAGAAAAAAGTAGGAGAATGAAGAAGAAAGGATAGAGATTTGGGAAGCATGGATTATATTAGGATAGAAATCATCAGTTGTGAAACCTTACTGGCGTTTTGGGTGGGGAAGGGAGTTCGTAGCTTCGAGCCCTTTGAAAACATGTAGGGATATTACTTCCGGTTATCAAATTATGTATCGGATTTTACTTTATGGTTTTATTTTTCCTTTTGTTATGCTACCTTTATACTTTGATCAGTAGCTTCTTTGTAATCAGTAAAATGATTTGTAAGAGCAACTGAAACTATCAGCAACAAAATAGAGAATTGAGGCTTAAGTTGTTACTCTATTTCAATTATGCACATCTCTCGCTTTCTTTGCCGCCAATGGAAATTGTCACCACCAGCAGATAACTTTTTCCTGATTCTGCCAAACCCATACTTTTCAAACTTGGACCAATGCTTACAGATGGGATGGTCGAAGTTACGAATTCAAATTGCTTCAGTTCTATTACACTATTATCTCAGTATTTTTCACTATACCGGCCAACGGGCCGGGCCCATTGCTAGTATATTATAGAGGGGATGTTTTCATGTTTGTGGGAGGTACATAATTGCTCGTACAAAGTATTTATTGATGTTGTTTGTTTATGGGGCCTTCAAATTATGGGGCCTTCCGGATCTCTGTCGTGTATATGACTAATTATATTTATGTATTATTGGATTTCGATTATGAATTTAAAATGATCGAAAATTTGTGAATTGTGTTTTGTTATGGTTCTAAAACAATAATATTACCCAAAATCAAAGATCAAATGCAAAAAGAATGAACGGATCACATGAGGGGAAAACTTATTTTCTTAATTATTAGTCTTTTTGCAAACCATATAACAAAACTCATTTTTTCGTGTGTTTCGTAAATATAATAAAAGATCGATGTAAGATTGTTGATATCTCATTATTAGCATTTTTAATAGTGTTGCTTTAACTTTCTTCATTTTCAACTTTTCAAGGTGAAAAATAATTTTATTTCATCAATTGATCTGTTTGTACTAGCAAGACAGTAATGCTAAATTAATTAAATAATTCACATTGATTTGTTAAATGTTAACCGGAATAATTAGTTACAAGCCACCAATAGGAAAAAAAATAACTAAGTTAATTATAAATAATTGGCACCATACTTAACTTTAGACTAAAAAAGTATCAATTTTTTTTATACTATTTGATTGTTCTAAAATTATAACCAATTTTTTTCATTACATCTTACTATTTAAATCATTGTCACTCTTTATTTCAAATCATATTAGATAGATATTATTTTTAAATAATGGAATGGTTTGTATTTATCAATTGATGCTTTGTTTATATTTTATTATCTATTTAGGAAAAATAATTTGAGCCACATTTGATTCACAGAACAAGGCCTCCAAAATCTCAGGACAGGCCTTGCAACTTACACACCATCTCTGGTCCTCCTTTCGTGTATCCCTCTGGAGACTATGCATAATTGGTACATTAAGAGTGAAATTTTGGTATTTGATCGATTTATAAAGTTTTAAATAATTTTACAATATGAAAAATGAGACGGTATATTTGATATTTTTATGGCACCCCTTAAATAAAATTGATAATTTAAAAATATTATCAAAAACAAAATATGGATCATTTCAAAATTGACAAAAAAAGTAAACTGTAAATTCGTCTATGAACAAAAAGTGGGGTGGGTGGACATGGTTGCCGGGAGCAACCACGCGATTTTGGGTGTCTGCATGGCTGCGAGCCGGGGGAGACCCAGCCACACAGCCAATGAAAGGTATAGGTGGGATTCGGTAAATACATTAGTTGAGATTCTCATTTAAGCGATGTGGTAGAAATCAACAACCTAATTAATTACCCCCGCGCGCACTGAAGCAAATTAGGAAGGTGAATGCATGCATTGCCGTAATTCCAATCCTATTTTACAAAGATACTCAATATTTTAGCATCCAATCATTAAAATCCAATCATTAAATTTTTTTACGTATATAATATTCTTTGTGGGCGAGCATGATTATGGGTTTGGGATGGGGGAGTCTAAAATCATTTCTGCACCATCTCCATTATTCTTTGCGGGTCTTAACTATCCATGTTCTGTACCTAGTCAATACGGGTTAGGGGCGGTCGGATACTCACGATCATGGCTTTAATTGTCCATACCTAGTTACGATCACTCCAACCCCTAAACATTTGCTACATAGAACAATTGATGGTCGAAGGAGTGATACATATTAGTCACTTATCAACTAATGATCAAACTGCGGACATCTTGACGAAAGTAGGTAGTTCGAGCAAGCATTGGTATCTTTCATGCAAATTAATTGATGTTGAGTATTCGACATCGACTTGACGGAAGATAAGTATGGGTATCTTTATGTAATTGTATATAGGGTTTTCATTGACATATCGTCGTAAACATAACAAAAAAAAACTAACAAATAAGAAAGGCATAAAACCTTAGAGGAAGATCCTCTTCATCAACTAATGTCATATTGACGATACCACGTTAAAAATACATCGTGTGTTCTTTCGTTATAGCTATTGGTTTCGTTATTTGACAGCTAGCTAGCAATCACCGTATAAACTGAAGTGATAAAAGATGTCGCCATGAATATGTAGAAGGCGAGATACGAGAAGTAACAAGCCGAAGAGTTTGAATGGGTGAAGGTGGTTACTTGACTCGCAAATACTAACACCCTAAGAAACAACCAAGTGTAATAGTAACTTGCCGGTGGAGCAGGGAAACCGGAGGACCAGCAGAAGAAGGGCTTTTTCGGCGGCAGAGGAAATTTATGCGGCGGTTCTCCAGTCTTGTTTTAGTGCGGCTTCGTAGCCACTAACCGGCCAGCAAACCCATTCTTTTCTTAATGGGTTCAATTCAAAGGTTTATTATTCCATATATATTTTTTCCTTACCTAATAAGAAGCTCAAAATCGGGAAGTAGTGATGGATGGAAGACGAGTGAGAACAAATCAGTTTTTCGGGTTCTTTTCTTAATGTCTTAATATAGATATAATGAAAGGAGCAGAAGAACCTGAAGAGAGCAGAATTATGGAGTCAGTTAATTGGAGGGAAATATTTTAGGTAGGAAGAAAAATTTTGTTTTGGATTTTACTTTGTATCTAGTAAAGCTGTTAGCGGGTTAATGATCTTGGGTTTATGCTTTGTACATGGTCATTAAGAGGCCCATTAGTTTTAACCTTGTTTAGCCCACTTACGTTAAGTCCATGAAACCCATGCAAGGGTACCAGGTTGTGCGTTGCTGGTAACCTAGGGTTCGACTATAGCTCCCTCTTCCTTGTATATGTATTGCCGAATAAGGCAAGAGGTTGTTTTAACACGTCTATCAATAATATCAGTAGCTAGAAGAGCATTCAGAGCTTTCGTGGATTAGTCTTGGATCACTCCAGGGATACCACGTAAATTTGGTGTTCGTTTATGATTGTTGCTATTTCTGATAAATTGTAAACGCGGAAACGAGTGAACACGATTTTAACGTGGTTTGGTCTCACGATGTGTGAGACTTACATCCACAACTGTCTGCTACTTCTCTTATTAGGTTACGGCCAAAGGCCTCATTACACTTATATTTATACCCTGCAACTTTGAACCTAGGGTATTAGCACTATAGCCGAGAGGACTCCTAGTACATGTGGTATTAGGAATGCAACTATGCATGCCCATGCAAGACACGGGCTGAACCTGCTGCTGCTTCTGGCTCTCGCTGGAATGGACGGGCTCGGTCTGGCCCAATAATTTGCGATTGATCAACATGGTATCAGAGCTTCAGCCAATGAATTTTGATCGTCCTTCTGTCCATCTGACATCACCGAATTTTGCTTTATGGAAATTCCAGTTTCGAGTGTTCGTAGAATGTCATGGGATGCTTGGTATTCTCGATGGAACTACACCGCAACCGCGTCAAACTCTTCCCGCTTCCGAGATTGATAAATGGCATCAACGGGATGCCCATGTTCGCACTTGGTTGCTTGGATCTGTCGATCCCTCAACATGTTTTGAGTCCCCGTCCGTTCACTACCGCACATCAAATGATACAACATCTGTAGGCAACATATTCCACGGTGAATGTCGCCTTCCAGTTTGAGCTGCAGATGGCTCTAGCCCGTTTGGAACAAGGCGATCAGTCTGTTACTGATTATTTCAACTCCGCTCAAGAGCTGTGTACGGAGCAGGATATTATTACGACCGCACTTCGTCCTCAACCATCTTCCGCAGATGCAATTGACGAGAGACAGCAAACAAGGCTTCTGCACTTTCTGATGCGACTACGGCCAGAATTCGAGACAGTCTGCACCACTTTGCTCTATCAAGCTGATCTGAAATTCGACGGTATGCCGGGGGTCTTGTCCGCGAAGAAACACGTATGCGCACCCAAGCCCAAGTTGACGTACGTCCGGGTGCGGGAGAATCAGTTTTTGCCGCTGCCGATAAGTTTCAGTTTCTACGAGGAACTCCCATATCTGATTTGGAGTGTCATCATTGTCACGAACATAGGCACCATGAAACTGTTTTTACACTGAAACAACATATTAGGTCGACCTCATCCTAACTGAGATCGACCTAATCCTAACTGAGACAACCGAAAAGTGCAAATTACGATAACTTGCAAGTCATCGTAGCAAAGTCCTAAAATTTATAGTTTAACTATCGTTATTTACATATACTATTACTATCCAAATATAAGGGGCCTCTAGCTCCGCCCTTGGGTTTACTACTTTAGTTGTACATTTTTGTTTTAGGCAAATCTTCCGCTTCGGCCACCCATATCCCACGGATTTTCTTTGCCGCCCGACAAAAACATTCCATTAAAGTCTCTAATCACCACACCAAGTCTGGCACCTACCGCAGCCAGAACTCCAGCATCGCTACAAACCGATATCCTCCCTCGCTTTATTGGTATCTGCCAACTCCTTCGAGATAACTCATCCTCCTTCCGTTGATCATGTTTGTAGTCAGCCCAAGGAGAAGTACTTTTCATAGAGTAACTGAAACACACCTTCCTGTCGATCTAGAACCGCTAGCTAGCTCCATCAAATTGCAACCCTTTTTGTTCATCATCTCGTTCCAGAACGGCGACAGGGCAGGCATTATTGGTCAGTGCCTGGAAGAATAGTACGATCCCTCGTTCCGCAGCCATTCTCTTTGCTCGTCCGAAAATCGATCTTCTTTTTGGCAACCATCTAAGTGCGTATTGGCTTCTAGGATGTGCTCTGCTTTAACAGAGGCAAGGCTTCATCCCAATTCAATGTTCTGAATGGAGACTCCAACAAGAAATCCCAATGCAATTAATGTCCCACGCAGTATCGCACAATCCACAACTGATGTCGCAAACTCGACCTAGAATGCCTAATTCGTTATGATCCTCGCGTGTATCCACCACGCTCCCTTCAAAAACATCGAACGCACTTAACCAATCGATATACATACTTACAAATATACATACGTCACTGTAAATGGAGCACTTACTGTTGGATTTCTTGTTGGTCAAGTTGTAAAGTTATCAATGTCCAAATGGGGATGGTAAATGGAGGAGGAAGATTCAGTTTTCGAATTTACGGCTTTCTGAAGCCTGTTCTCGAGATCCCGAGCTGGTGTTGCTCGTCTGGTAAAAGAAATTGATGGCTTCAATGGGAGCGTTAAATGGGTAGGGCGATAAAATCAAAATTCACACATCATTCACACTTGCAAAAAAAGAAGCTCCAATGTGGCAGTGGGCGTCAATGATTCCTTTTCAACATATAACTCGGCACCAATATATGATGACGGCTTCACCAACGCTCGACTTTCCTATGCATCCTTAAACAAAATGATGAATCTTCCAACAGATGCTTAAACACCATTACCAAAGTCCAGTCCAGCATGATTCTCTACTGCGGCTCGCTAGCTAGCTATAACCTTCCATTAAGTTTCCTAGACTTTCAATATATATTCATCCATTAGAATATTCAGCAAGGTTCAGTTCATGAAGAAGCAAAGATGCTTACCATCTTCTACGGCTTCGTGGTGGTTGCAGTGACGGCTGTCTCATTCTCAGTTTACGCTCTAGCAATGGAAGGATGCTGGTGGCGGCTTCCTCGTCCAGTAACGCCAGCTGGGTCCCAACCTAGAAGGCAGCATAGATTCCATCCTGTTCAGAGACCATTCGCAGTATTGACAATACAGTACAGTAAGGGAAAAGAGAATAATTTAGAAGATTGTGAAGCAGAGTGTGCTGTGTGCTTGTCGAGTTTTGAGGAGGAGGAATACCTACAGCTGCTGCCGAACTGCAACCACTCTTTCCATGCACCTTGCATAGACATGTGGCTCTACTCCCATTCTCAGTGTCCCCTTTGTCGGGCTTCCATCGACAGGTTAGAGCCTGACAGTGATTCAATCTCTACAGTAGGATTGCTAAATGGTGTCTAAACCTCAGGTACCTGAGTATTCTCAAACCATTTTCTTGTTCCTTCATAGTATGCTAGTAAAGTATCACTCTTATTCAATAAAAGATCATAAAGCTTTGTAAATACACAGTAAGTGTCTTTTCGACAGCTTGATAGTGTCAAGACACTCAGACGTTGAAGTTCATCGGCATGGGTTCAAATATGTACAATCATTAACTGAGAAAGAGCCAAGAGTTTGCTGTGTAAAGATTTCCAGCACAAACATTACCATGGGTCTCACGCATATAGTTACAAAGTCGTTTCGCTTGATTTTCTTCTCTGAGAATCACATCCTTCTCAAATTATCTAATCTTGCCTGCAAATCATCATCCAGTCCACCACTGTCTTCATGATTCCCAGTTGATTCAGCTTGGGCCGCAACCTTGTTCTTTGCAGCTGGTGCAGAGACCGCAGATGAAGGTGCATTAACAAGCTGCACACATCGAGAAAGTTGCAATCTTGTCATGGTTTGATTCTAATGAGATAAGGGTATCGTCAAAGGAAAGTGTATATACCTCATTATTGATATCGATCCCAATCTCATCGAGCACTTGGTTCACAAGCTCGTCTGTTTCTTCCTCTTCTTCATCTCCATCAAGAGCATCATCAATGGCATCCCCCATCACCTCTGAAGTCATTTCCATCTTTTCGTTCTGCCTCTCAAACTCTTGCATTATTTTCTGAAGGGACGGCAAATTCATCTGCCTGTTCATCTGTCCCATTGCTTTCGTCACACCTTTCATAGCCTCCCCCATTGCTTGAGTCGATTTCAGGGTCTGTAAAACAAATTACACATTTCAGCAATTCACAGCAATCTTGATTAAACAATCCAGCAATATCAAGAAAGCTCCAGGCATCAGATGAGCATTAAATGCTACTTTGGTATACTGCATCATATTAGTATCTCAATACTCAATCCACCCTGTCAATGCCCAATGACAAATCAATTGACATGCTGCATCTGTTGGGGAGCTGAGCGATGTGAAATTCAGTATACATGTAAGAAGAGAGAAAACAGAACAAACCTGTATTCTCAAAGAGACACCCTGGAGTTGCGACTTAAGCTTATAGAATTTTTCAATCTGATGCCTTGTTCTGATAAGATCCTTAGCCATTACTCTTACAGCTCCCTATAAAAATAAGCAGTCAGCAAAATTATGTAGTCAAACATACAGACAATGAAGTATAAACATTGAACTGTTCAAGTTGCAAACAGATGCACATTTAGCTGAACAAAGAAAACAAACATTTCAAGAGGGCAAAGGAGTGAAGGTTCGTGTTCATGTTTATACACGGTACTCCTATATTTCAAAGAAGCGAACTTTTAAGCATGGCATTCTAGTTAATCATAGAGATAGAATGCCGCATCACAAATCATCAGATACAGAAAAAACCGAACTCTAAGTGAACCAGACGAGTTCGACAAGTCCACGAGAGTTTACGAACAAACAAAGATGGAAGCCAGGAGCTTCATGTTATCCACTTTAAATCAATGAGCATATACCATCCCTGATATTGAAGCATTGAAATTTATCAAAACCAAGAGCGGCAAGTATGATTTGAGCAAAATCCATAACTTGACCATCAGCCACTTTCAGCAACTCCACGACTACCAATTCAATCTCCAAAATCAACAATAAAAAAGAAAGACTAATCTTAAGGCAAATCAATAATACCATCTGCCCATTTTTGGCATTCTTCTTAATCTCAGCAATCAACTTCTTCTCCTGGGTTTGAAGACCTTGTCTTTCTCTCTCTATATCCCTTATTGACTTGTCGATCATCCTTTTGTTCTCCCTCAGCAGCTCTACACAAAACCCACAAAAATTTACAACCCTAAAGTTCTCAACTTTTTAACGATCAAATCAAAACCCTCCCGCCACAAAATTCAATCTGAGAGACGATCCTAAAGAGAAGAGCTGCAAAGCTTACCAGCTGGAGTCTTTCTGTTCCCGAAGAGGAAACTCATCTTGCCGATCGAAGTCGCTAGCTACGACGCGTGATCTCCGATTAAAGACCTGTGCGATCTCTTTGCTTCGTTCTTCTGAGTGAAAGGTTCTGCTTGCTTCCCGGTTAATGGCGCGTTTGTTCCTTCTCCGGTACGGTGGTTGGAGAAGAAAGGCAGCTGGTTTTGAGAGCAAGAGATTCCTTGGGCTGGCCTATTTCATTTGGGCTTCCTAAAGTTCTTGCACGCTTCGAACAATTTTAGGCTTTTCCCCTCTTGTGGGAAATGATGATATATCTAAGCCCAGCCCAATTATACTGATGTTGTCTTGCCACTTGGCCCTTACTTTTTTTTATTTTTTAAACAGATGCATAGCATCTTAGCTTTCATTCAACATCAGACGAGGTTCGGAGATCCCCTGATAGTTATACAGCAAGAAATAATTAAGGGTCGAATCCGAGATAGGAACAGGATGGGTGTCCGGAGGCATACAATGGCCATAACTGGCTGAATTATCCACACACTTGTTGCCCCTTGCCCTTACTCCTATCTCGACATTTGTGGTTTCTAATCGGATGACAATTTCGACCTCATCCATTTTATCCAATTTGCTTGACTTATTTTGGATTGGCAAATATCCACCTCATAGGTGAGGTGGGGCAAGTATGGGTAATCTCCTCGACCTGACAATGCCCTAACTCGCCCCATTCTTGACACGTTCTTGTTTAAATCACATGTAATTTTATTCAAATTACTTAGTATTTTGTTTTTTATTACCTCATAGTTTAGCTATAATAAAATTGTAAATAGGTAAAGCCTCAATTTCGTGAATAATTTAATTGCATTCATCATGCTATAGTTTGTGTTTTTATTTTTTAAATGTGAAAATGAATATTTAAATATCTTTCGTTTAGATTTTGTACCCATATGGATCGATCTGTTCCGATCTATGCCCTGTAATAAATTACCCAATCCGAATCCCACCTACCACAAAACGAATATAAATATTGAGATACTCACCCCGACTTGTCCCATTATCATTGGTGGAATTAATCCACAAACTTTTCTATACCAAACAACAATATGTTATGGTATACATCCACGCAGATTAATTAGGTCATTTATGGTCCAACGAATTTTGCTGCCGTTGCCGTCCTTTTTGGAGTTCAGAATTGAGGTTGTTGTTAACATCGCATGTACTATGTTTGGGTCAGAAGGCAGCACCATATATGCTTGAAGAAGTCCCCATTTCCTATCCGAATCAAACAGAAAAATATTTATACAAGACAAAGACTCGTACCTAAACTCAGCAGTACTTGAACCCAAGCTCAAATATCGTTGAAATATCTACATTATTATTATTTTTTTCGTTGAATATCTACATTATTTTATATGGTATGGATTATGGTATAAAACTCAAATGCTCAAAACCTACAAAATATGTGTTTTACTATTCCTGATATGATTGTATTCGTATCAGGAGCGGTAGGACACTGAATTGAGTACCCTGTCCTTTCATTTTTTTATTAAAATAAACAAATATTTTTAACTACATTATTTGACACTCAGTAAAACTATTTGATATATTCATAAATATCAATTTCGAAATCTACAAACCCAAATTTTGAAATTCATAATAGAGGGCAACTAAAGATAATAATAATAATAATAATAATAATAATAATAATAATAATAATAATAAATAATAATAATGAAAACCAGACAGGATTCTTAACTCTTTGAATTGTGAGGATGGATGAGATCCAACCACCAAACTAGAAAGCTAGAGCCCCATAAATATATAGTTAGGTTAAAGGTTGGAGAATCTCAATTATTTATTACCACAAAAAGCAGACGGCATCATATGATTAGCAATACAGAATAAACCCAACAAACCCATTCATGCATAACTTTGAGGTAGTTAATATTCCATAGTTGGAACTTGGAAGGTTCAACCAACTAGCTAAGATAGATGGAATGTACATACACCATAATCTTTAATTTTAATATCTTGGTTTGTTTACAATCAGCTAAATTATATGTTTTCCAAGGACCTTCACCTTCCGATCATAAAATACGAAATTCCGTAATTGTTATATGGATTCGAATTACCAAAATCATATTAACTAAAAAAAATAGAAAAAGACCATTTACATACAACGAAACAATTTGAAAACTGACTTTAAAGACATGACAAATGCGCAACTTTTATATACCACCAAAGCAAGCACTCGATTGTTCTTAGACATGAGAAATGTGCAACTCCCATAACCACCAAAGCAAGAGAATGTATAAAATATCGGTGTTCTATCATAAGGATGCACGAGATAGTCATGTTGGGGCAATTTTTGAGGAAATAATGTGTATGTTGGCGGCTTGGCGCTGAATATTGATTTTCATGTTCGATTTGTAGGTTGGATTAGCAATAGGGTAGCATATATTGTGGCTCGGAAGACCCTTTCTTTACTTCCGACCTCATGTTGTTCTTTTAATCTTTATTCCTAGATTGATTACATAGTATAATCTCTGATCTTTCAGTCAATCAATATGATTATTTGTTCTTAAAAAAATTCATAAAGATTAATCTCACATTGTTGTAATCATCATGAGCTGGCCTATTGAATGCCTATAAGAAGGGAAAAAAAAATAGTACAAACTAGAGCATATAGTAGCTAGTTAAGGCCCCCCACTTCTTTGATTCCCATGGAAATGAATGGTAAAGAAGAAAAAGAATCTTGTGGCTTTCTCTTGCTCATCTCCCACTAGGAGGTTTTTCTCACATCAACACTGTGAAATGGAATTTTGAGAACCCATTTCAGAAACCCTAAAATGTTAGGTAGTGGGAGGTAGGCAAGGGGCGCCGTATGGTAGATAATAGCTCCCCGGCTAATTAACTATAGCTGTTGACTTGCTTATTGTTTGTGGCCGCTTGATCGTTGGTGGACTTTTTGTATTATTCAAGTTTGTTCCTGTATATATGTCCAATACAAGTTGGTCGATATGTATATAAAATGGCAGTCTAGTCTCTTTCATGATGATTGACTCTTGTAATTGAAACTTCATTTGTCCATTGATCCAAGTGCATTGTATGCCCAAGAAATTTGATATTAGTTTCTACCGTAAATTTTCGAGTTTGGCCAATTTCGTTACTTTGGTGTATAGTTCAGGTCATAATATTATGCATCGAAGAGATTGACCATGATGTTTATTATGTGAAAAGTTCAGGTCATACAAATATGTTAACCCTAGTTTGTATTTATGTTTGGAACAATGTAGTTTCATTGAAACATATCATATCTGGTTTAATTTGTCCTATAGCATGCATATGTGCATGAACGTTTTACACAACGTTGAACTGAGTATGGAATATTAGTAAGTATTTCGTCTTTAAATGTCTCATAAGGTGACCACCTCTCTTATAACCCTAAAATGTCTACATTGTGAAAAATTAACCATAACATCTTATCAATTACCAAAAAAAAATTATATCCAACCTTTGTATGAATGTTCGTTGTACGAAATCATAGACTATCACGTTTTCGTAAGGTGTAGTGAAAATTAAATAGTTGACTAGCTTCATCGCTTAGTGTCTTTAAATAAACTATCATCGAGAATAATCATTTGACGGCATACAACATTTAGAGTAGATTTTGCTCTTATTATCTATTAGGTAATAACCAAGCTCTTTTTTCCGTAGTGCCTCCTCAACTCCCTAAACTATAATATTAGTGTAACTATAGTTTATGTTCCAATAAGGGAGGTAATATACAATACATAAACGCAAAAGGAAAGCTAAGCATGTGCAGAAACAAGAAAGGAATATGTATGGTTTGTTGGGATGCATATCTTAATATAAAGCCTAGAATTGATTAAGGACTGCCTTATTGGAAATGATTTTTGAAGTGTGGGTCGCTCCATTAATCATTATCCATTGATGTTCGTTAGGTAAATGTAGCCTGGTAATCATCTTGCGACGAATAGCAATGCCCTTTAGTTTAGTGCCTAATTTGATTTTACTACCTCTATTCAAAAACCCGTCCAAATCGGTACAACTTTTTTATAGATATTTGGCACGTCCATAAGAACGCATATATATGTTGTTAATTAATTTTTAGCATATATCAAGCTCCTACCAATTAATTTTCAATGAGAATGCGTTAAGGAAACTTTATTTGGTAAAAAAAAGTGTTAAAGGAAAGTGTAGGTGACTAAGGTGAGGAGATGAGGGTGGTGGGATTTGGATTGAAGAATAAGATCCGGTGACAAATGTCAAATGGGGTGGGCTTGGTCAAGTGTAGGGATGTATATTAATTGGGTGGGTGGGATGGGTTTTAGATAAAAATTCACCCACAAACAAATAAGTCGATGAACAAAAATATGACTCAATACTCATCCAAATATACAATAGTGGGTGGGTAGGGTGGGTTAATGCTGTTTAAGGGTGAAATTGGGTGAGTAAAATGATTTTCATAAAATTTAAAACAAACTTGAATCAGAATAAATTTAGAATCGAACCCGTATTGTTGTATGCAGACACAATCTTGTTTGTAATGGAGGAGAAGACGGTGACGAAGGAGGATGTTGTGAATGGTTTGGGTCTTGGGCCATTTGGGTTTCCTTAAGTGGCTGGTTGGGTTTTATTTTTTTGCTTTAAATTTGAGTGACTCGACATTTCTGGGTGACTAATGAAATTAAAATCTGTAAGTAAAAAATGTAAAACAAATTAATAATTCCAGTGACCAAACATGTTATTCACCTGAACTTTTAACATAGAATATGAGAAATTGATACATGACATAGTATAAGATTAATGTATTTGTTAAGAAAACTTTTAGAAACATGGACTTTTGTCTCTATTTGTTATTTGGACCACCTTGTCAGTTTTATTATGTTCGGAATTTTGGATGCATTTGGGGGACTTTTGGGAGTTATTTGAGTATTTCTGATAAGGGATAAAATTATGGGTTGTTAGAGGAAATTAGCCGGATTTTAAATACGGAATTAAATTATGAGAAATTCTAATTGAGTAATTCTCTTCCTCTCTCTTCGGCCCAACCCTTTCTCTCCCATGTTCTTCCCCAAATCATTGGCTAACTTCTATCATTCTAGTATCTAATCCTCTAAATTTATAATTCTACATCTATTCCCAATTGTGGAATCCTAGACGGAGACACCTAGATCCTTAGTTCTTATAGTGGTATCAGAGCCTACTTCATGTAGGGATGGCA